ATGGCATCAGAGCAGGAATATGTGTGAAAGAGAGAYRCATGGGTCAGACTCACTTGTATAACCACCCACTATTACATGAAACCCTGCCAGGGATGATGTCACATGACCTACTTACCTGCACTAAGCCCCACCTTTTAAAGGTCCGACCACCCCTCAACATCACCACACTGGGACCAAGATTTCAAAACATGAATCTTTGGGGAGGGGGGGCACACTTAAACCACATAAAAAGCATAGCAAGGGCAAAGACTTACTATGATTTTCAGCCACACTTTTCCAGCSTCTACAATACCAAATGGGTCATGTCCATAAGAAAAGAGATCAATAGGGAATAACTTGTACCAAAGAAACTTTGTGCTTGGAGATCCTGCCGACTCTGTTTTCATCTCTGGAAGCCTGCATTCCTGAAGTCCTCTGGTCTCACCAATCATGCCCAGGCTTCCTTCTTATGGCCTATAATGAACCCAGGATGGTTTCCATCTCCCAGAGCTCCTGCSGTTCTCACTATGATGCTAAGCAAGCCCTCCAAGGTGGGCAGCCAGGACCAGGGCTGGAGTACTWAGTTCCTGGCTGGTGGCTCTCTAGCTGCCCTCATCTCCTTCCCAGACCCACCACTCTCCACCCCYGACTGCCCCCAGCTCTGCATTGGCTGCCAAAGATTCCTGGTTGGCCCTGCTCAGGAGACTGATATTGGCCTGGAGATGGATCCTCCCTACCAGGCAGCCTGCAGCCGATGATGGACAGTGGTGGGATGTCTTGAGTGGGATAACTCTGGTGTGACTTTGGCTCCAGAACCACCCCTGGGTCAGGTGAGGCTGAACTTGACCTGAGAGCAGAGCCTTGCTGGCTTCTCGCCCTGCCTCTTCTGCTTCCCTCACCTTACAGGTTCCCTCTAAAGGATCCTCCCTGGGTGAAACGTGTCTCCCAACCCCTGCCGCAGGCTCTGCTCCTGGAGAAYTGATTACTGAGACAAGTCCAGCTGAAAAGAAGAAGCCTTCAGGAGCACAGTGTATGTGCTCCATTCTGGGCTGAACTGTGTCCCCTGACGTTCACATGTCAGAGGCCCGGTCCCATTGTGACTGCATTTGGAGATGGGGTCTTTAAGGAGTTAATGAAGGTTAAATGAGGTCTTAATAAGGATGTCCAATCCTACGTGACGAGTGTCTTTTTAAGAAGCTAAGGAGACTCCAGGGATGTACAACAGGGGAAAGACCCTATGAGGATACAGCAAGGAAGCAGCCTTCGGCAAACCAAGGAGAGAGGCCTTAAGAGAAATGACTCCTACTGTGACCTTCCCCTTGGACTTCCAGCCTCCAGGATTGTGAGATGACAAAGTCAGCTGTTGAATCCCCCAGGTCTGTGCCTTCTGTTAAGGCAATGGAGCATAGGCTTGGCAGACTCCCCCAGCTGAACRAGGAGCTCAAGTTATTTTATACTACAGTAAACTAAAAACACATTTGAAAAGATTGGGGTAGAATAAGATGAGGAGAAAYAGTATTTTTGAGAACCTGCTCTTTTCCTGAAATGCTGAATGGGATGCCTTTATGTTGGTGCTTGGTCAAGCTCCATCCTCTCGAAGGAGTCCCATGGATTCCCACCCCAGGTCCTGCCCACACTCTCAGATCTCCATTCACTGTGGCTCCAGAGCTGGGCGCATGGTACAGGGCTCATCCATCATCTTCAAAACGCTCTCATCTGGGGTATGAGAAGGTTATTGGGGGGATTTCTGAACCTCAGCATATTAACACCCGAGGCTGGGGACTCTGTGTCGTGAGGCTTCCTGTGCACTGAAGGTGTTTCACAGCCTCCCTGGCCTCTCCTAGAGGCCAGCAGCACCCAGTTGTGACAAACAAAAAAGTCTCCAGACATTGTCAAAGTCCCCGCATGGTGTGCATTGTCCCCTGATTGAGAACCCTGAAGACATGCACCTTAACTCAGGACATTCCTGCCTGGGACCTTCACTGTAACTATTGGAAGGGGCAGTTTCTTCATGCTGGGACTCTGTGACCCTCTATGGGAGTAAGGGCCTGGGGATGAAGCCAACTTGGAGGATGACAGCTGGGACATGGGGGAAAGAGATAGATTTGATTATTTTACGATATCACAGAAAACCATAACTGGATTCAACCAAATTATGTTTCAGTTATCTGAGCCAATTAATTCCCTTTCAGCCTGAAACCAACTTGATTTGCATTCCTGCCACAGGCATTCCAAAAGCTCTTGAATGACATGAGATACCCTGTAAATTTGCTCTCATACGCCCACCGTGGCTGTTCCTTCAGGAAATCCTCCCAACACTGGATTTGCTTATCTGTACTTTACAGATTTAAAAACTAAGAGCCAGCCAGCTGCCTTTTCCTGTATCTCCATTACYCACTGTAGCGCTGCCCAGGATCGTGGTGACTTGCATCACCAATCACTCAGGGTCTTGGACACCTCTGCCCAAGCATCGGCCCTCAGCCACAGCTGTGTCTTTCCTGAGTACAAAGGCCAGATGCTGAAACGGTGTATTATGGTTTGGATTGAGGTGTCCCACAAAGCTCCTCTTAATGCAGGAATTTTCAAAGGTAAACTATTAGATGATGAGAGCTAGAACCTAACGGGTCCATCTTAGTTGGAATGGATTGACTGAGTGGTGACTGCAGGAAGGGGGTGTGGCTAGAAGAGGTGGGTCACTGGGGACATGTGCTGGAAGTGGACCTCTTCCCTGTGTCCCTTTTCCTTTCTCCCCCCCCTCCCCTCTCCTCCCCTCTTCTCTCTCCCCCTCCCCATCCCCTCTGTTTCCTGACCCCACCATGAGTTGGGAAGTTTTCTTCTGCTGGGCCCATCCCCCAATGTGCTGCCTTCACTTGGGCCTAAAGCAATGGGGTTGGCCATCTGTGGACGGAGACCTCTGAAGCTGTGAGCCCCAGATAGACCTTTCCTCCTTGAAGGTGCTCCTGTCAGGTATCTTGGTCACAGTCACAAAAAACCTAACTAAAATAGGAATTGGTACTGAGAAGTGGGGTTGTTGCTGGGTCTGACCTGACCCTGTAGCTCAGAAGACTTTGGAAATGGTTTGCAGGAGGAATTTGGAAGCGTTTGGAGATGCAGGTTATAAACTTTGCAGTGCTGTGATCAGAACTGAATGGGAAAATCTGGTGGGAACTCAGGTCAGAATGCAGACAGAAGTGCAGACTGTGCCCTGAAGTTTCAGAGGGAAATGAAGACTTTATTGAGAATCAGACTAGAAGCCACTGGTGTTATATTGTGGCAAAGCACTGGCTGCATTTTATCCATGACCTGAAGCTTTGTGAAAGGCTGGAYTTAGAACTGATGGAGGAGGTAATCTGGTGGAAGAAATGTCAAGGCAGCACAGCATTAGTCTTTGGCATGGATATYGCTGGCAACTTTTATCCAGGTTTGTTATGAGAATCAAGAGCATTAAGAAGAGCTAAAGGATGTTAAAATTTTGTGGTTTGGCCAGAAAAATGCTTTCCAGCCACCATGAACAGAGTGCTGCTCCTTCACCCACACCCTTCCGCCCCGATGCTCTAGCTCACCTCGGGGCCCAGAGTGATGGAACCAGCCTACCATGGACTGAACCTCTGAAACCATGATCCAAGGTGGACTTTTCCTCTAAGTTTGGTCACAATGGCAAATTTCTAACACAGCCTCACAGTCCACGGAGCCTGGGGCAGGAGGTGACTCCATCTAACTAGGATAGACACAAGGGCTGTGAACAGGGTCTAGCTTTGGGCCAAGGGCTTCATGAGAGAACCTCAGGCTTAGTGACAGCACCCAAGAGCCTCTGACCATGGGCGCTAGTCTGGGTGCTGGTCAGGCACTGATCATTGCTCTAAYTTGCTCCTGGGTGGGATGTACGTAAGGCAGAATGTAAAGGAAGAGGTAGGACCCTTCTCAGAACCATCTCTGCATCCCTGGGTCTGGGGGATGTCCTGGGGTATGATGAACCTCCTCTGCACTTCAAGTCAATGCAGGATGGAGCTGTGTTGGGCACCTCTATGAAGGGTGCCATGTTGACAGTGAAGAAGATGGTAAATAACAGCAGTTCCATTTATTAAGCTACTACTAATGACTTTCTCTCTGTGTTCATTTTCCCTAGCACTCATAACATTCTCACAGGTGGGGACTATCATTCCCTTTTTACAGATGAGAAAACTGAAGTCCAAATAAATTAAATGAGTTGAMCAAGACCCCCAGCGAGTAAGTAGAAGACACAAGATTCAAGGTCAGACATGAACATTCAAGAGACTCTCTGCTTCCAGGCACACCTCAGTAGTTCCCAGAAGGCTGTTGTTAGGGGCAATGGTACAGAGAAAGCATGGATTTGGGGTGTTTATTGGACCAGCCTTCTCTGAGAGATGCCTCATGTCAAATGGAAGAGGAGTGAGCTCACAAGGTAAAACRGACCTAATTGGAGAGGGCCTGGGTGGGAAATGTACACAGGGAGCTTTTGATACTCACAGCAGCCTTATTTATAATGCAAATGATTTAAAATAGCCTGAATGCTTATCAACTAGAGAGTGATTAAATAAACATAACAGAAGACAATCTAAGAGGTGATTCACTTTAAAACAGATCTGTATGTGCTTTTGTAGAACAACCGCTAAGGCTCMCTGTGGGCTGCTCTCCATCTGCCCCCACATCCAGATCCACCCTCCCTGCCTCCGGACTCTGCACCCTGGGAGCTGGCCCTCCTTGATGGCTCAAGGTAGGCGGGGAGCGAGGTCAAGGCGTTTCTTTCTGCTCCCCCTCACTCGGGCTCTATGGCTCTGCCACAGCCCAGCACCTCCACAACTTAGCCCTGCTGTCCGCCCAGTCATCCCCGGCTCCAGTTTCCCCTGGGCTCTTGTGCCCTATTTCCTCCTCTTAGCCCTTCCCATCTCTCCAGTTGAACTGTCGGAGTGGAATTCCGTGTCTGCTGAGATAGGACCGTGGTGCGGATGTATTAAGATCATTATGAAGCCTCCCCCCAACACAGACAGTCCTCTACTGACCTCCCAAGAAACTTTCCGATCTTCTTCGCTATTAGTGTCCCCACCAATCCACCGATGGCGAATATGGACACGGTCACAGACCAGAGCAGAGTCAGAGTATCCGGGTCTATTGGATGTCCATGCCTTCTTTCCCATGATTCATTGTAAAAGGCCTTGATATACTGGAAATGAACAACAAGCCATGTTATTTCCTTCTGTTGCATCCTGTGCTTGAAGCCAGCCGGCACACACACAAAAGAGCTTGTGCAGAGCAATTCCTTCACGTTGAGCACTTTGCTAAATGCTGTGTGAGCACTGGACTCTTCTAACAAAGATAGAGAATGGGTCCTAAGTTTACCACATTTGGTAGACAGAAAAACTGAGGCTCAGAGAGACCAAGTGACTTGTTCAGTAAATATTAAACCTGAGAGTCAAAATCAAGTCTAATTTAATGCAATTCCTATTAAAATCCCAATGACATTCTTCATAGAATTAGAAAAAGCAATCATGATATTCATTGGAAAAATAAGAGACCCAGAATAGGCAAAGCAATCCTTAGCAAGAAAAGTGAAGCAGTARGCATCACAATACCAGAACTGCAGAGCTACAGTAATAAAAACGGCATGGTATTGGCACCAACAGACACATAGACCAATGGTACAGAACAGAGGATACAGGACAAACCCACAGAAACACAGTTATCTCATATTAGACAAAAATATACATTGGAGAAAAGATAGCCTCTTCAACAAATGGTTCTGGGAAAACTGGAAATCCATGTGTAACAAAATGAAATTAAACCTCATCTCTTACCCTGCACAAAACTCAACTCAAAGTGGATCAAAGACTTAGGCATTAGAATAGAGATCCTGCTCCTAATAGAAGAAAAAGTAGSCCCAAATCTTCACCATGTTGGCCTAGGAACTGACTTCCTTAACAAGACTCCTAAAGCACAAGAAATAAAATCAAGAATCAATAAATGGGATGGAATCAAACTACAAAGCTTATTCACAATAAAGGAAACTATCAAGAATGTGAAGAGAGAGCCTAGAGAATGGGAGGGAATCTTTACCACACGCACCTCACATATAGCATTAATCTCCAGGATATATAAAGAACTCAAAAAACCAAATAACCCAATAAATAATTGGGCAAAGGAATTGATCAGACACTTCACAGAGGAAGAAATACAATCAATCAATGAATATATGAAAAAATGTTCATATCTCTAGCAATTAGAGAAATGCAAATCAAAACGACTCTAAGATTTCATCTCACTCCAGTCAGAATGGCAGTTATTAAGAATACAAGCCACATTAAGTGTTGGCGAGGATGTGGGGGAAAGGCACACTCGTACATTGCTGGTGGGACTGCAAATTTGTGCAACCAATCTGGAAAGCAGTATGGAGATTTCTCAGGAAACTTGGAATGGAACCATCATGACCTAGTTATCCCACTCCTYGGCATATACCCAAGTGTCTAGGAATTCACAGGCAACCCGCCTGCCACCTGACTGTCCTTCACATGTATCAAAGGTCATTCCTGGGGGTGACCTTGGTCCCTACTGCAGTGCTGCGCCCATTGATCACAGCTCTCCTGCAAGGAATCTGGCCAAGACAGGCTCCACAGAGCCTCTGACTGCCTTGCTTACAGCTGTGACCAGTCTCCTGGAATTAAAGTGAGGAAACTAAAAGATGCCGTTTTGTGGGAAATCACCTCTTTCCTCTGTGCAGTGCTGCACTGGATGTCTTCTGTGGAAAGGAGGACTTTCAGATCACTCCCTGCCAGGTGTTGCCTCAGGGGTCTGCAGAGTTTTGTGCTCTGGTTTTGGGAAAGCACAGAGCAGAAGCTTCCACAGAAAGCTGGAAGACTTGCAGCACAGCCTGTGCCCCCTGCACACGTTTCTCTAAAGTTCCCCGAAAGCTGGTTTCAAGTGCTGCCTTTGGTGATTAAATGTTTGTCTTCCAGCTGAAGAGCTTGCAATGGCCCCGATGACAGGTGCTGGGTGATGAGGGACCCAGGTGATAGGGGCTGTTCTGCTAATTAATTGCTCAAACCATTATTAAGATTCATGACATAAATATCTGTGAACACACGATGGTAGTGGTATGGAGAAGATGCTTACGTTCGTGTTTGTGTTTTAAACTGAGTTTCCACTGTGTCAGTAATGCTCATATAAAATAAAATCATAAAAATAAATAAAAGCAGGTTGGGCAGTAACACAATGAATAGATAATAATAATAATAATAATAATAATAATAATAATAATAAAATAATAATAATAATAATAATAATAATAAACAACCAGGTGCCCCATTCATCATATTTCAACATGCTGAGTGCCATTCACCCATCAACCAACCCATTTCCCCCTCCAAGACCCTGTGAGAGGGCGCCATCTTTGTGGCTCTCTTCTGGGCAGGTGAGGAATGGGAGAGAGAGATGTAAAGTCTTTCCCAGGCTCACACTGTTGGTGTGTGGTGTAGTCAGGGCTCAAGTCCAGGCAGGTGGACCCCAGACCCAGTCTTAGCCACTGCTTTATCCTAACTCTTAACCTGCAAAATACAAAGACTRGACAGGAGGAGAAGGGTAGGGATGGGATGGAAGGGGAGGCATGGGGCTGGTGGGCTGCTAGGCACGTGGCAGGCACCTGTACGCCTCACTGCCCTTCACCCTGCAGCCATGCTGAGAGGCTCCATAAGGAGTGGAGACCTGGAGCTGAGAAGCAGCCTCAGCCACGGGGAATCCATTGGAATGGTAAAGCCTGCTAGGCCTCTCCGCGCCTGCGCTCCCCCCTCCCTGGTCACASGGCCAGCCACACTGCCCAGTGCCTTGCATCTAGGTGGGCCACGGGACAACTGGCCCATAGTGGGCAGAGGTGATGCGTGTCACCTTACCCAGGCACTAGGAGTGGGATGCTGTCCAGGCTCATTCCTTCCTTGTCAGCTGGCCATTCTGGAGGGAGCCAGCAGAGGGCTCCARAGTCCTAGAGGAGAACCACCCCATGGACAGGCCTGAGGCCCCGAATGGCTTCCCGGAAGAGGTGCCCCTACWCACTGTTTCAGATAGTGACACAAATGAGAAAATAACTTTCATTGTGTTAAGCCACTGAAGCTCAGGCTTATCTGTTACAGCAGCTGGTTTTCCTGAACACAGTCAACYCAATGCCAAAGCCCAGCACATGCACTGTGGTGCGAGGCTTCTAGAAGGAGGGAATGAACCAGACATGGTGTTTTACACCTGAAATTCCAGCTACTCAGGAGATGAAGGCAGGAGGATCACAAGTACAAGGCCAGCCTGGGCAACTTAGCAAGACCCTGTCTCAAAATTAAAAAGGGCTGAGGATGCAGCTCAGCAGTGGACTGTTTGCCTAGCACATGCAAGGTCCTGGCGGGAAAAAGAAGAGGATGGGCAGGCCTGGAGATATGGGCCCATACCTAGAGTTTTCCTTGTGTGTTTTGGGAGAATTTGTTAGATTTCACTCGAAGAAAGCACTCGCAATAAAAGAGTCTCCACATCACTGTGACGTGAGCACCTCTAGGCCTCCTCGGAGAGCCCATTCTTTTTTTTTTTTTWAATTTATTTGTTCTAATCAGTTATACATGACAGCAGAATGTTCTACCATTCATTGTACACAAATGGAGCACAATTTTTGACTTCTCTGGTTGTACCCAAAGTAGGGTGACACCATTCATGCAATCACACATGTACCAAGGGTCATGATGTCCGTCTCATTCCACCATCTTTCCTACYSCYGTGCCCTGCCCCATTCAAAGTTCCTCACTCATCCCATGCTCTCCACCCCACTGTGGATTAGCATCCACTTATCAGAGAAAACGTTCAGCCTTTGGTTTTTGTGGATTGGCTTACTTCACTTAGCATGATATTCTCCACCTGTTTATCTGCAAATGCCATAATGTTATTCTTTTTTATTGCTGAGTGTTATTTCATTGTGTATATATACCACAGATAAATGCAAATCAAAACTACTCTAAGGTTTCATCTCACTCCAGTCAGAATGGCAGTTATCAAGAATACAAACAACAATAAGTGTTTGCAAGGATGTGGAGAAAAGGCACACTCTTACATTGCTGGTGGGTCTGCAAATTTGTGCAACCAATCTGGAAAGCAGTATGGAGATTTCTCTGAAAACTTGTACTGAAACCACCATTTGACCCAGCTATCCAATCCTCCGTCTATACCCAAAGGACTTAAAGACAGTGTACTATAGTAACACAGCCACATCAAGGTTTATAGCAGCTCAATTCACAATAGCCAAACTGTGGAACTAACCTAGATGCCCTTCAGTAGATGAATGATAAAGAAACCAAGAGGCCCATTCTTATTCTGTCTCTACGCATCTGCCTCCTTACCACGAGGGTGCATCCTGTCTTCTAGGCACAAGTCCCAGCCCCGTATGTGTGTAAACTCAACACAGTGGGACTGCTCTGACAGCAGGAAGCCAGGAGAGGCCATGGAACCCAGCCATGGAACCAGATGGGGTGGGCAGTGAGGGCTGGTGGGGCAGCTCAGGCTGGACCTTTCAGGCAGAGGGCCCAGGATTCTCGAGGAGCAGAAGCTGGGGAGCATGAGCCGACTAGAGGAGCTTAAGTGGCCAGTGGGGTTGGAGGGTGGCTCGGCATCAGGGAAGGCTGGAGAAGGAGGCAGGAGCTGGGTATCCTGGCTCCGTCTGCCCACCGAGGAACCCACACTTACCCCTGMGGGCGCCAGGGAACATGGGATCAATGCTCTAATTTGTTCCAGAGTGTTCATCGCAGGTGTGGAGTGAAGGACATTTTAGAGTTTAGAGTAGATGAGGCCAGGCTGGTGAGGAGGCTGCAGCACTTGGTGTGAGATCATGAGGCTGGTGGAGATTTCTTATGAATTCATCAAGGAGTGTTTACATTAGGACGAGAACTAACCAGAGCCCACACCACAAGGAAAGGAAAAGAGGCCACATGATATAAGAAAAGGAGGCGGAAGGGAGAGCCCTGGGTTTAAGACTTGCTTGTTTCCCTGTGTCTGTCTCTGACCTTCAGCGACCTTCCTCAAGGTGCTCCTCCTCTTTGGGCAGTGTCCCCATGGTTGGGAACCTGGCATGACTTTATTCCACGCTTGTCCCTGTCCCTTCTCTGCTGGGGGACTGAGCTAGTTACTTAACCTCTTTGTGCCTCAGGACAC